TGCCCAGACTTGTGAAAAAGGATTGGAGCCAGAGTCCATCTTGAATGGCAGAGGTAAGCGCCATATATTCAGCTTCAGTCGACAAGAGAGCCTGAGTGGTCTGTTTCTTTGCTGAGTGCGAGATTGGGCCGCCATTGAAAAACCAAACATATCCAGAGATCAAAATCCGATCTTCAGGACAAGACGCCCAGTCGGAGTCTGAGAAGCCATGAAGACTGGGATTGATTCCAGCACCCCCGTAGTGTGTGCGTGTGTTGATCGTACCGGCAAGGTAACATAGGACATGCTTGGCAGCAGAGTAGTGCTTAGGTTCGGCACATACGTTGTACTGCGCCAGATGCATCACCGCGAGTGTGATGTCCGGTTGAGTGTACATTGTGAGGTACAGCAGTTCTCCAACCAGTTTCTGATACTCGGTTTGGAGGTTGTCGACGTGAGGGAAAGTGTCAGTTGCACGGCCAAAAGGAAAAGATGGGTCCATGGGAAGTGAGACTGGATCGCAGTTGGTCATCCCATGTTCCTCGAGTAGATACACAATATAGTCTTCTTGGTGCATCCAGAGTTCTCGGGTTTTCTGGTTGCAAATGAACTGAATCCCCAAGTATTTCGTCACGTGTCCGATATTGGTGATTCCAAATCGTTCGGCGATTTGTGCCTTGGTGCGATCTAAGAAACCACAGTTGTTTGAACCCGCAAGTCCGTCATCGATGTGCCATGCAATGATGCATATTATTCTCACCCCCTCACCATTGATGTGATTGAACATGAACACAGCGTAGTCAGCCTCACAACGTAAGAACCTGAGACGCGCGAGGACCTCTCGCAAGAGCTCATACCAGTCAAATGTGGCCTGTTTAAGGCCATAGAGCGACGAGAGCAGGTGAGTGATGAGATGGGAACCGTTGGAGTCGAGATGCTCAAAGCTGGGCAGTTGTTTCATATATACATCTTCCTGCAGTTTTCCCCAAAGGAAGGCTCGTTTTGCATCAAAGCAATCGATTTCCCAATCATGGGATGCTGTGTAGGCTGAGATGATGCGGATTGAGGCCAATCTGGCAACAGGCACGAATTTCCGGCCGAAGTCAATGCCGGGTATCTGAGAGAAGCCTTTGGCTACAAGCCTGGCTTTGAACATAGGTCCCCCCTTGAGGTCCTGCTTGAATTCGAGGACCCAACAGCAACCTATAGCTCGGCGATCCGGAGGTAAGACCACAAGCTCGTAAACATTCATTTTGGACATTAAGTTCATCTCGTTCCACATTGCTGCCATCCAGTGGTCGCTATCGGGGCGACGCATTGCTTCATCAAACATCGCCAGTGGTATCTTTAGGTCGTACCCAGGCAACAGGAGATTCTGGCGAGTATCACTTTGGATCGAAAGACAGGAAACCTCAACGGCAATCAGGTTCGCAAGAACCTGCAGAAAGCCGACTTCATCATCTTCGACAGGGATGGACTCTGGATCCACGTCAGTGGGAGCAGCCGCACCTGGCATCTGCACAGGTATGTCAACAATGGGGACAGCTGGCGCATCAGCAACGACAGTAGGAGGAGGCACACCGTTTATTCTTGCATTGCAAAGCTCCCACTGACGTGCTAAGCAGGCCTTATCAGCGATGATGTGATTCTTAAGTGACTGACCCTTTTCAGTGGGGACGGGGACACGACTGGAACAACGGATGATGGATGTGTGTGGAGGTGTCGTCCTGGGAGGAGGCATGGGAGATGCTGGTGGACTTGATATTGTTGGGACAGTCTTGGTGTCCTCGTCATCGTCGTTGCTGTCACAAAAGGGTTGATTAGACAGAGTCTCGTCAAAAATAATGTCACAGGAATTGAAGAATGCGCCCATCAGTGCGTCATGGCAACACCAGGCTTTCACACCAGGAGGGTAACCCATAAATGCAGCTTCGCACGAGCAAGGCCCGAGTTTCTCCTGCAACTCAGGAGGAATGCGTGTGAAGCATCGTGCACCGAAGACGCGAAGATGGGAGAGGTTGGGCTTGGTGCCATGTAGCATCTCATAAGGTGTTTTGTCAGTGGGCAGCGCGCATGATTCTGTCCGGTTGAACAGATAGCAGGCTGTAAGTGCTGCTTCTCCCCAAAGGTTTGAAGGCAAGTGAGCAAAGTCTAGCATAGCGTACATCTGACCTTCAATAGTTCTCATCACCCTCTCTGCCTTTCTGTTCTGTTGGGTGTATGGTGCAGAACGCTGATGTTTCACTCCGGTCTCCTCAAGATTCACTGTGAAGGCACCGCTGAGAAATTCACCTCTGTTGTCGGACCGAAACACTTTGACATGTTGTCCTGAGAGGTTCTCCCATCGCGCACGAAGTATGCGCCATGCCTCAAGAGCTTGCTCCTTTGAGGCCAAGAGTTGCAGGTCAAGTGCATGTGTGTGATCATCAAGGAAGATCATGAAGTAGCGCTTCCCATGTGGGGTAAGCATAGGGATTGGCCCGCATACATCGCTGTGGATCAGATCAAGAAATGCTGGCGCACGTTCAGTCTCGGAGGTGTGAAAAGGCTGCTGTGGATGTTTGGCGAGAATGCAAGACTCGCAGTGAGACATTGGAGAAGTGGACTGGATTGTAATGCCATTTGCGACACGATTGAGAAGCATAACAGTGTCTCTGCCAATATGACCAATGCGAGTGTGCCACAGATCCAGGGATAAGGGAACATCGGCGAAGGCAGCTACCTCAGGAGTATGTGGAAGAGCTGGATGTGAGTCCATGAAAGGGATGAACTCGACATTTGGCACGTAGAGTTTGCCGGTGGCTGGGATGGAACCGAGTAGTGTACCCTTGTAGACTAGCTCACAGATCATGCTTGCACAGAAATTGACGTCCCAACCTTTAGCGTTCATGCAACTCACAGATAGCAAGTTCAACAGTGCACCGGGCATGTGAAGGCAGTTGGAGAGACGAATGTGAAGTCGACACTGACCAATGGTGAACCAGGCTACACATGTGCCCCACCCGGTGGTCTGAAGGACCCCGTGATTTGCGGTGAGCACACTAACAGGTTCCTCGGTGGAGTAGGTATGAAAGAACCTGTGGTCCTTCACAAGTGTGACTGTCGTGCCTGAGTCCAGTATGGTAGTGAAAGGGAGGTCCACAATGCAGGCAATCTCGTCTGGTATCTCTGTGATAGATGCAAAGGATAAGTCGTGCATGAGGCTGGTGATGTCAGCGGCAGCCGTGGCTATGATGGGCGCCGGCATAGAGGTGGATGGGGAAGGTGTGGCTACCGTGGCAGCTGCAGCAACTGCTGCCTTATCCTTGCCATCTTCCTTCCTCTGGTTACGCATGCAGGACGCCTGGCCCTCCATTCCACCACCTTTCCCATAACAGTGGGCATGGTCGTGATCCCCTTTATTGCAGCCAGGCGTGGTGCAAAAGACCCCATCTGGGTTATGCCTGTGCTTGCGAAGTCTGGTGATGGGGTTGATGTACGATGGCGCAGCAGAGGAGGAGGTTGCATTAGCATATTCAGAGCCAGGACGAGCATTGGTGATGACGTGTGAGTGTACATGATGTGCCGCTTCGGCAGTGATGCGAGACACACAACTCTCCACGGTGAAGGCTGAGATGGTGCCTGGTAGTGCTGTCATTACCTCGTCATGCATGTGTTGTTCTACCATGGACCGGAATTGTTGCCAGACAGGTGTATGAGGAAGACCTATGAGCAAACTATAAATGGCGTCACCATCACGCATGGCAGCGCCCGAATCACGGAGACGTTCTCGGAGTACTGCGTGTTGACCAATGTAGTTAGTGGCATCAGCAGAGTCTTTCATCCATAGGGCATCTAAACGTTGGCGTAGCTGATATTGCGCACTGGTGTCAGTCTGATTGAAGTGTTCAGCGAGAGTTCTCCATGCATCGCGAGCTGAAACAGTGTGCAAGCGTGATACCAATGCTCCAACAGATGCACTAAGATGGCGAGTGACAAGATCCTTAGCCTTTATGTCATTTAACAACCATTCTTGCATCGCCGTCCTTTCGGCGGGAGTGATGTTGTCAGGATCGGCGGGATCAGGTATGAAAGATGGTGCTCCAAGCAGATCTGTTGGGTCAGGATTTGTGTTGATATGGCACCATAGATCTTCACATGTGAGAGCATATTGCATCTTTGTGGACCAACCGACGTAGTTTTCTGTGCCCAGTAACTCGGGAATATGATCAAATTTGCCCATGACGATACCGCCATGAGAATGAATGAAGATGAGATGAAGGTGTGAGCGGCGAGTAGTCACAAGCGGAGTTCTTGCTATGTAGTCTCGTTTGATGGTTCAATAAGAACCAGGGCTCATGACCTGTTGGAAGGATGAGACTAGAACAAGGCTCAGTGTCGTAATAGTTAGAACAAGGCTATACGAGGAACAAAGTAAGAAATAGACGGTGTGCAAGTGGAACGCGATACATACCTCAGTGTTGTGATAGTTAGAACCGCTGAGGTATGAGTCGCGTGAAGCTACAGATTATATATTATGGTATTGAGTCTGGAATGTCAAAGATGAAAAAGGGAAATGGCCAGAACTATGACAACAATGTGGAGTGATGATGACATTGAATTCAATATGCAGGAGAAACCATCGCCCGTGGCTCAGGTAAGAATAGTGGAAACGTGAGCTGATATATATCCAGCGTATACCCGTGACTTAGGATGGTGTGGGCTGGGGGTGCTCAAATGGCGCTCTTCCCATTGCCTTCAATATGTCCCGAACCTAGCACGCCTACCAAAGCTAGCACGTTCTTACCATCAGGAAACTCCTCCCAAGGCAAATTAGGGAGAATTCACAAAAATTTGTAACATTAGCACAATCACAGCTATTTATGAAGAATGTAGCTAAAGATGATAATGTTAGATGAGTTTTTTTCTAACATAGTAAGAGTTATTGAGCATTATCTAAACATTGAAAAAGTATATCTATCTATGTACGAGTTCAACCAGAATGTGTCACAGTCCTCAAGTACTGTATCACTTGTCCACTCTCATTGGGCCATAACACCGAACCTCGGTATAAGATGAACACTGCGCTCAATGTCAGTGATCGACACAATACTAGCCATGGTGTCACCACTGCGCAGTGAACGCGAGACTTTATATAGTCCGCTATTGCGGTCTGGAGCTGGCGAAAATGGTGTGAACCACTCGACATATGCAAGGTGAGTAGGAAGACAGATTGTTGGTGGGAAGAGCAGTGGGATGGACTTTGGTGGTAAGGTGAAAATCACTCGAACTTGACCGACACGGAATTCTATGATCAGTACAAAGTAAGTATTCCATAGTAACACTGACTGACAGTTTACACACCTCGAAGATCCTTCGAATTCACACCCAGCCTCACTAGAGCTGTATCGGATTGGCGAGCAACGACATGGGAGCCAAACTTGCATCGTGGTTTTGCATGGACACTGTCCAAAGTAACGTGTGCATTGCCATGTCCATGGGCATCAACTGAGCACCACTTGATCTTATGAAAGACAGGCAGTCGATGGAATGGAAAATGGATGTCATGTGCCAGTACATCAAGTGCGTGACCGTGAAGTGGTGTGGGATCATTTCCTCGACTCTGCTGAGCAATATAGCATGCAAGAGCATCTCGAAAATGAGTAGCACCATAGTCCATAGCCAGTGTTTTGAGGCTGACGGACTTCGCACTGGGGTGTTTCACCATGACTTGTTTATGACCGAATGTCATATCTGGTGGGCGTGAATGGTAAGGATCCAACTCGTGGCTACCAGCAAGTCGCCAACTAACATATTTTTGATGTTGTAATACTTTCTCCTTTTGTTCAAGCCAGCGGGTCATTTGGGCAAACTCGTCCTTGTGATTCATAGCATGGTAGGCATCTTTCACGAGCCCCTTCAGTGACAAATTCCGTATTATACGGGCCACCCGACCTCCATAATATCCCGTATGAGACGGGCCAGCTGATCATGGGCCCATGTTGTGTATATTCTCGATGATGACGGATAGGCCGGGACACATATTATTTCTGATGGAGACGGGTGGGCCCATGTATGCCAATGATATATATATCCTTAATGTTGACGGATGGGCCGGGGGAATATGATCATTCATGGAGATGGGTGGGCCTATCTGGGTAATATGTAGAGTAGGATATTATAGACAGCTGGGCTGAAGAGAGATGTAAGGCAAATATTGTTATATAGACGGGCGGGCCGACGTGGGTGTATTACATATATGGGTGGGCCGAGGTAGGGAAATATTACATAGACGGGTGGGCTGACGTAGGGTGTATTACATATACAGGTGGGCCGACATGGAATGTATTACATATACGGGTGGGCCGACGAAAGGGATATCAAATAGACCGGTGGGCCGAGGGTGCTATAAAATATTTATTACATAGACAGGTGGGCCGAGGTGGGGTATAATTATATAGACGGGTGGGCCAATGCAGGATGTATTATATAGACGGGTGGGCCAACATAGGATGTATTACATAGATGGGTCGGCCGACGTGGGGGATAATACATAGATGGGCGGGCCGACGGGGGTGTATTACATATATGGGTGAGCCTAGATATGTTCCATCAAGACATACAGCTGATGTAGCCACCAGCGAATCAAACACATAGGATACATGTACACTATGAGTGCATATACCTACCATCAACCACCAAATCTAAACCCCTAAGCACAAAAACATGAATCGATCATGTGTGGCATTGACCAATAATCCAGGACTGAAGTGGAAAAACCCCACACCTGAACCCTGGTGTGCAACAAATCCTATTTCTAAGCATGGACACCAGAAGCACAACACTGACAAAAATATATATGTCAAATTTTCAGTGCCAAACCCCAAACCGAGATGTACCAACCCCTGAAACCCGAAACCCGAGACTGCCGGGTCTCAGGTATCGGGTGTCCGGAACTCGGAACTTGGGAGAATTTGGGGAGATCAATACAATTTAATTTACAATTGAGTTGATTGACAACACATTGACTTACCCATGTTTGCAATATATTTTTGTTTAGACATACCGAGTTCCGAGTTCCGGACACCCGAGACTGCCGGGTTTCGGGTGTCGAGTGTCCGGAACTCGGAACTTGGGAAAGTTTGGGGAGATCAATACAATTTGATTCACAATCAAGTTGATTGACAAACACATTGACTTAACTATGTTTGCAATATATTTTTGTTTAGACATACCGAGTTCCGAGTTCCGGACCCCCGGACCCTGAAACCTGAGACTGCCGGGTCTCGGGTATCGGGTGTCCGGAACTCGGTATGTCTAAACAAAAATATATTGCAAACATAGTTAAGTCAATGTGTTTGTCAATCAACTTGATTGTGAATCAAATTGTATTGATCTCCCCAAACTTTCCCAAGTTCTGAGTTCCGGACACCCGACACCCGAAACCCGGCAGTCTCGGGTCTCGGGTATCGGGTGTCCGGAACTCGGTATGTCTAAACAAAAATATATTGCAAACATGATTAAGTCAATGTGTTGTCAATTAACTCGATTGTAAATTAAATTGTATTGATCTCCCCAAATTTCCCCCGAGTTCCGAGTTCCGGACACCCGATACCCGAGACTGCCGGGTGTCGGGTGTCGGGTGTCCGGAACTTGGAACTTGGGAAAATTTGGGGAGATCAATACAATTTGAGTCTCGGGTATCGGGTGTCCGGAACTCGGAACTCGGGGGAAATTTGGGGAGATCAATACAATTTGATTCACAATTGAGTTGATTGACAAACACATTGACTTACCCATGTTTGAAATATATTTTTGTTTACACATACTGAGTTCTGAGTTCTGGACCCCCCAACCCCAAAACCCGAGACCCAGCAGTCCACAATTCTGGGGTTCAGGGGTTGGCAAAATGTGTATGAATATATGAAAGGTTGAATGAAACATTTTTGAAAGATGTCTCATATCAAATGTTAAGTCCCGAGTTTCGAATTTCGGGTTTCAAGACTCCAGGTTTCGGGACTCGGCACTCCCGAAATCCAGAAGTTGAAACTCGGGATTTGACATTTGATATGAGACATCTTTCAAAAATGTTTCATTCAACCTTTCATATATTCATACACATTTTACCAACCCCCGAACCCCAGAATTGTGGACTGCCGGGTCTCGGGTTTCAGGGTTCGGAGGTCCGGAACCCGGAACTCGGAACTCAGTATGTGTAAACAAAAATATATTTCAAACATGGGTAAGTCAATGTGTTTGCCAATCAACTCAATTGTAAATCAAATTTTATTGATCTCCCCAAATCTCCCCAAGTTCCGAGTGCCGGGACCCCCGAACCCCGAACCCCGAGACTGCCGGGTCTCGGGGTTCGGGGGTCCGGAACTCGGAACTCGGTATGTAGAACAAAAATATATTTTAAACATGGGTAAATCAAATTTTATTGATCTCCCCAAATTTCCCGAGTTCCGAGTTCTGGGACCCCCGAACCCCGAGACCTGGCAGTCCACAATTTCGGGGTTCAGGGGTTGGTAAAATGTGCATGGATATATGAAAGGTTGATTGAAACATTTCTGAAAGATGTCTCATATCAAATGTCAAGTCCCGAGTTTTGATTTCCAGGTTTCAGGACTCCGGGTTTCGGGACTCTGGGCTTCGGGACTCAGCACTCTTGAAACCCGGAAATCGAAACTTGGGACTTGACATTTGATATGAGACATCTTTTAAAATGTTTAAACCAACCCTTCATATATCCATACACATTTTACCAACCCCCGAACTCCGAAATTGTGGACTGCCGGGTTTCGGGGGTCCGGGGTCCCGGAACTCGGAACTCGGAATTTGGTATGTAAGACAACAAAAATATCTTTCAGGGTTCAGGGGTTAGTGAAATGTTTATAGATATACGTAGATTAATTGAAACATGTCTGAAAAATTTCGTTCATCTCAAATGTCAAATCCTGAGTTCCGGACTTCGGGACTCAGCACCCGGCAGTCAGGGTTAGGGGTTCGGCATCGAAAATTTGACATTCGGGTGTTCAGGTTTTGGGTGATATCTAAATCAACAACTTCGAGTTCTGCCAAAGCGTGAAACTTGAAACCCAGTGTGCAACATGTTGATTTTTCATTTATATCACACAAATCATCGAGTTCCGAGTGCCGAGGGCTGAGACCCAAAGCCTGAGACCTGAAAATATGTACACAACATGTCCATTTTTCACTCACTGCACAAATCACCGAGTTTCGAGTGCCAAAGCGTGAAACTTGAAACCCAGTGTGCAACATGTCCATTTTTCATGTACATTACACAATTCATTGAGTTCCGAGTGCCGAGGGCCGAAACCCGAACCCCGAGACCTGAAAATATGTATGCAACATTTCCATTTTTCACTTGTTGCACAAATCACCGAGTTTCAAGTGCTGAAACCCGAAACTCAAAACCCGGTGTGCAACATGTTCATTGTTCATTTACATTACACAGATCATTGAGTGCCAAGGGCAGAATCCTAAAACCTGAAGCCCAAAAACATGTATGCCACATGCCCATCTACTCATTGCACAAATCACCAAGTGTCGAGTGCCGAAACCCAAAACCCGGTACTTCAAATCAGTAGTCGGGTACTTGGTACTTGGTTCTGATACTTGGTACCCAAGAATCAGTAGTCAGGTACTTGGTACTTGGTTCTAATTCTCGGTACCTGGGAATCAATAGTTGGGTACTCCAGCCAATAGTCCCGAGTCCCGAGTACTGATATTTGGTATTCGGTAGTCAGGTTTGGAACTTGGGTCTTGGTTTGGTTATCATTTGACTGAGATATTGGTAGGCAATATTGGCACTCGGAGCTCAAATACTGACTATCAACTATCAAGTGTCGGGACTTGGTAATCGGTAGTTGAGACTTGGTGCTTAAATGGATATTGCATATATACATAAAAATACAAAATATGTTCCTATGTGTTCATTTCTAGGTGAACAGACTTTGGAATTATATCTCAATCATCTATTCAACAATAGAAACAATGTATCAGGAGCTCAGGACCATAGGGTAATCCTTTATTGTATAGTGTACCTCCCCCTCTTCTGGTGGTTCACCCGCTGGGGGTTTTTCCCTGTAAAGCTGGACCTCAAGGACTGTAGGGAGTCTATTCCTGAGCATATTCGGAGTAGATATATCATATAACCAGCCCAGGACACACAGGATCCTTCTCCAGGAACAAAGCATAGACAATTGCACTTGTGACATTTTTTCACAATTTTCAGTATCTTGCCCTTGCATCCATGATCCAACCTTTTAATATATAATGAGCATAGCTTATATTCTTGCTTCTTATGACCAAGATCAGCTCACAATAGGCTGGAGTTTGTGAGCTAGTGTGCATACTTGCCATTTTGCCTGATAAGGGGCCCATGCCTTCAAAACATTGAATCTTCATAATCAGAAACCTGGGGTACATTTCAAATATCTTAAGTATCATAGACATAACTTTACAGACAAATCAACCAAGAATTGAGTACTGAGGAAGTGAAATGGGTAAGAAATTGAGTGTGGGAAACTTCAAAGACCCAAAGCATCGAAAATGGTTAGTTGAGCAGTGGTAGGACTTTAATGCTGGGTCAACTCATATTTTCACTATATCCCTTCTACCCACCCCCTACCCTCAGGGCAGTAGGCAGTATGGGTTCCTTGGGTAGTTTACAATCTATCCTACATATTTTTAATGATATTTTTGGCCTGAATCATATATAAATGTGACTTTGTATAAAAGATGTCTACTGTCACTCTCCACACATCATTTTGCCTATCATTACATCAATCCTTCATGAATATTTCTAAGCTTTTAAGCTATTATAATGGATGTATATGGGTGTTATTCCAGGTCTCTGATCACATC